CAACTTCAGTATTGAAAAAAAAAATCACCCTAGAGGGATATGCAAAATGATATATGAATGCCTCCTTAATGGTGGGAGCAAAGCTTTCCTTTGCATCAAATATTGAAGAAGCTGGCCGGCTCCAGTGATGGCTGTCAGAAAAACACAGAAAATGTCAACTGCCACCTTGGATGTCCTGAGAGGTAACAAGACAGACTGCGTGAAGATTTCCAGCATATATTTACACTTCAGCAGAGAAGGGACAGAGTAACAGGTTATTTGAACCTTCTTATAATTACTCAGAAAGCAAAAAATCCCATTTTCATTCATTTCTCCAGAGCTCTTGTTTTCAAAAACAGTTGTAAGAGTTGTCAGAATTAAGTTCTGTCAGCTGCATGCTATTAACATTTCCACCAAATCCTTACTGTAAGAGTATGCATACATATACAAATGAAAGAACTTCATCTGCCTTTCAGACAGGGAGAGCAGCTGTGTGAGTCCTATACAGTTCTGCTCAGTGGCCTCCAGCCTTTCATCTCTGAAGGACGGGGTGGCACTGGGGTGTGAGGATGAGGAAGAAACTTGCTCACACTCTTGTTTCCTGTTGAGGCTTACAAGTCCCTGTCAGTGGCTGCAACAGGTCTGTCAGGTACAGAAGGCAGCCTCATGGTGCCACTGCCCATTAGAAACTAGATGAAGACCCCTGTCACTTCCTAAGTGTCATCACTGCTGTTTGAAAGGATGTTTGTTCAGGAATTTTATGGATTTGGAAATTCACTCCTAAGTGGCCCTGTTTGGAGATCCCTAAACATTCCACAAAAATGTGGAAGCAGCATAACAAAATGCTTTGAACTAGTCAAGTACTAGTCAAGTACAAGAAGTACTAGTCAACAGAGTGATATTTAAGCGCCCTTAACCACATTAAAATAATCATGCGCAGATGGACAGAGCCCTGGAGTGTGGAGTCAATGGGCATACGCTAGACTACAAGGTGAGCATGTGCATTAAGTATTGTGCTCTTCTACATGCAGTCCAGTCCTTAAGTGATTTCTCAGCACTATGAAGAGTTTCTGTGGAATAAACCAGCACCTGTCACTCTATTTTTTCTTTCTATGCTGACAGAAACATGTAACAATTCTAAAGAGACATCCTCAGGTAGAAAACCAGCTTTTTGCCAAGGGATTCTTGAGCTGCTCCATATTCACCACCCAGCCTCATGATTTTGTCTCCAGCTCTTGGGATCCTAGTGATAGCTCTCATCCCTACCTTTCTGCCCCCGTTCTCCTCTCCTTCATTCCCTTCCCCTAAGCATGTACAAACTCAGCATGTAATTGAGGATCCAAACCATGTCACTGTACACATACCTGCATAGGCATGCACAGAGTTGTCCCAGTGATCCCTATTCTCCACTATAGTACATGGGTGGGCCCTAATTAAGGGATCTAACCTTTTATCTGCAGGTCAGTTATGTCAGTCACTGAGTCACCTCAAAAATAAAAAGCTACAGCATCAAAAATAAAGAATTATTGGTTAAGGACAATGCATCATAGACTAAAAAAGCATGGGTGCTGCTTTGGGGCTGTCAAATCATTCAAGCATGAGAGGCAAGAGCCACTAAAACTTGTCAGGGACAAAGTCATGCCATCTGGACTTCCAAAGCTTTTGAAAATGCATTTGGAAATGAAAAATACACAACAGTTAATGCACTAGATATTTCACACTGGTAGACTAAGATGCAGATATCCAATTTACAGATAACACAACAGCTTCTTTTCCCTTAGTCATAAATTCCAGGATGATCAGATTCTGAATAGCACTCCCAGATACAAAAGAAAAATAGGGCAGATGATGAATATTTTATCGCTGAATTCTTGCTATACATAATCATATTATTTTATTATCTCATGCTGTGAAGAAAAAAAGGGAAATGAGGCTAGATTTGTGAATGATAATAATAATTTGTCAAGCTGTTTGATACAAGGATGAAAATACAATAAACATGATTTTAAAAGTTGAGATAGAAAGACTGGTTACAGCCATGAAATAGGAAAATGTGGAAGTGATTTAAGGGTATTAAAGGAATGTAAAAGAGTCTGCGATAGAATAATTTATATAGCAAGAACAATAAAATAAAGTACAAGAAACACTAGCAAAAGCTGTATCCATTAAGACGAAAGGTAAACATTTTGACAGTCCTGGGAAGGAAAGATGAATAAACAACTTCATTACAAATTGCGACTCAAGTTTCTCCTGGACTCAGAAACAGTCATTTCCTTAGTACACTGCACTTTGATTATATGTGGACAGGGAATACCTTGTGCTAACGGTATTCAGATGCACATAGTCTAATCCACTTTTCCAATAGTTTTTGTTAGACTTCATATATCTTTATGAATTACCACATGAAATGACATGTTTCAGTGTATTCATTCCTAATGTCAATCCAGCACTGTAAACGATCTTTTTTAAAAAAACAATTTTAAGAAATCAACCTTTTGAAATCACAAAGACATGCCTAAAGAGAGAATGTAGATGAGCTCAGTAGAGGTGTACAGAATCAATCACAGAATCACAGAGGCTGGAAAAGACCCCTGGGGATCTCCAGTCCAACCTCCTGCCCAAAGCAGATCCAGCTGGAGCCAGTTGCTCAGGGCCTCCTGGCCTTCTCCAGATGAGCTTGGATACCTCCAAGGATGGAGTCTCCTTACTGCAATTTGGCAGGGATAAAGCCTGGCTAGAGTTGCTGTTTATATGAGAAATAATGGCCCAAGTGTTTCAGTCACTAGCAAAGAAATGGAAACATGGCCCACAGATAAGGTAATCGTATTCGCTTTGGCCATGGTGGCCTGGCATTTCATTTGAAGTGTAGTAGTTCTGTTCCTAGCTGCTTTACCTCGGTATTTTATTATCAGGAAAACACTTTAAAATATAACAAAGCAAAACCCCATAACATCTGAAAGAAAAAAAACAGACTTTTAATGAAATAGCTTGGAGGACATTGATTGAAAATTCCAGTGCTGCTGTTTCTATTTTTTCAAGAATGTGATTATCCTCATTCCTGACCTATCTTTGAAATCTTCAAGCCTCTCCAGGTAGGACTTTACGTCTCCAGAGTTCACTAGGGATTACGGACAGCATCAATAATGCTCTAAACATGAACTTTTAAATATTAGGTTTTCAAATAATATCCAAAGGATTACATGAGGACAAATGTAAATATTTACCTACGTACAATGACTCAGACTGTCTGTGTGACACTTCGGTGTATGACGAGAAATAGTATCACATGCCTGGGTATCCAGCTGTCAGATTCGATTATTTGAGTTCAGTTCCTTCAATCCAAGATTAGACACTCTGTACCCACCCTGACTGAGAAGTCAAATTGGACAAATTCTTTTGTTTATAACTGTAGTAGAAAAAGTTTAAAGTTTTACCCTCCCTCTGATCCGGTAAAAAAAGCCCTTGACAGCAGCACAACCCTCAAATACCTGAAAGACTTATAATTAGTCAACCTCTGAAAAATCCTGAAAAAGAGACCAGATATAGAGCTCCCCTTAAGGTTCCCACATACCTTTCCCCTCTTAATTAAAAAAAGGATAAAAGCAGAATTGAGATCTAAAACGCATTTCAGAAATTTTTATCCGCTATCTCAGGACTCATGTGTCAATTACCTCTAGAAAAACCACTCAGAAATTAGAGCCTGCCCAGGTCAAATTAAAGCAGGTTTTCTCCTTGGCTTGCAGGTGATGCAAAAGCACACTAGGATACCATGATTTTTATGCCCTTTCACCTTGACTTGCAGTGAGTGCTGCACTTCAAAGCCTTTTTGGTTTGAAAAAACAGAAACAGAGGTCAGAACGCCAATGTTTCCCTGTTGTTTTTACTTACTAAATTAAAAGATTAACTGGATGTTCACCATACTAATTTCCACTTCAGAGATAATGCACGGCCTCGTACAGCAAAAGCACCAGGCTAATGTGGCCAGCCTCTACATTTACCAGTCCAGAACCAAAACCCTACAGCAGCACTCAGAGCACACACATCTAGAAGAGGTGCACACACATGAAGCATCATTATGCATTACTACATGTACAGTGACAGGTCAGACATTTACATCGTGGGAGATGCAGGACATTGTGCTGCTGAATACACATCCATAAACAAATGCAAGGCATGAATGGCTTTTTTTACCATTTCCCCTTTTCACCTCTAGCCTCTCCCAAGGACTAAAATTTAATATTAAACATTGATCTCAAGCATTTCCTTTGCGCAGATGTATTGGATGTGACACAGGAATGAAAACTCCTTACTGCTTTTCTGTAAGCTGTTGCTGGCGTGAGGGAGAGAGGCAGAGAGACCAAGCATCACTAAGAATAACATTTCAATACGTTAAGGGATTGCGGAAGCTTATCCATTGCCCTGCATTTCCTTATGTGTGTATGTTTGACCTCCTTTAGATGTCCTGTATTTTCTGTTGGTGAACTTCACAGTTTCTGCAGAACCTCAGTCAGGGAATACGAGTGCTACAAATATTTGTCCTAGGTAATTTATCTTACTGCATGTGTTATTCTGATAAAGCTTCTCTTGAAAGTAAAGCATGCTACCTTTCCAGTGAAATATATGGACCTTACTTTCCAATTTCATTGAGGGTCATTATACTGCATGACAAGCCTTGGCCTGGCTGCTCCAGTTGCAGAGCTTCAAAAACATATCCGGGTTCCACTGACATACCTTAAATATAAATTAAAAAATGCATGGACTGACCTTTATGTCACTGAATGAAGCCTTATATTTTTACCAGTTGTGACAAACTAGATCAGGGAAGGACGGTAGATATTTCAGATTATGTTTTTTAGATAGGAAAAAAGAATACTCAGAAGAGAACAGTTAGATGTGAAATACCTATCCAACTGCATAAAGAAGCACAGGTGTCACAGCCCAGTGCATGCACCAAACCTAAGACATTTGTCTGACAGAAACAGTATCAGCAAAAAACCCTGTTTTGTTAAACAGAGCCTTACCTTTCTGCTATAGATTTCCTTGGGTAATAAAAGTCCTCTCCTGCAAGGTAGGCAGCTGCAGTTCCACCTCCAAAATAGGTTTTCCTCAAGAGGGGGGCAATCCGGTTGTTTACCAATAATGCCCCTAAACCAGTTGGGAATCCGAAGATTTTATAGAATGAGATGGGGATAAAATCAGCTTGGTGAACTCCCAAGTCTAATGGAGAACTGCTCACATATGAAGCTGCATCTAGTAGAACAAACCACTTCCCTGGTATTTTGATGGGGTGGAGTTTTCCTGATTTTATGTCCTGTATCCATGAAAGGGGATATTTGGTACCAGAAAAATTGCTCTGAGCTGGATAAGAGAAAAGATGAGGTGTCGTGCAGTTTTGTTCTTCAGTTGGTAACTTGTTCTTTTCTGATAAAAAGATTTCCTTTGGTTTTATTGGAACAGACAAGACATTCATTGAGGCGGTTATCCCCCTCATACCCACCACAGATGTGTGGCTATCAGTTAGGTAACAAAATCGACTGCTGGGTTGCTTTGTGCCTTCAGGTATCCAAGGGAACACTTCTGCTACCAGTTTAAGTGCAGCTGTGCATCCAGATGTGAAAATGATGGTATAATCTTCAGCAGTAGTGTGAAAGTGTTGCAATATTCTGAAAAATTAAAAAAAAGATCCAGTTATTTTCTGATTTTTCTATTTTATTGCTGTGTGATATATTTTTTTTTTCTCAGCATAAATTCTTCTAGTCTGACACCTGACATGAATAGAAGTAATCAGATTTTGCCAAATAGCACAATAAACTTCAACAAGTGTAACCTGAATCATTTTGCCCACAAGAGACTCTTTCCAATGCTGCAGTGAACGTGATTGTGTTTTTTGAGGATGGAAGCCAGTTCTGCCTAGCTCTGAATAGAGTGTCCAGTCTGGTCCCTCAGGGGGATCAGAATCAAGCCTGCATATGATTAAAATTACGCTGTCCCTGAGAGACCCCAGTTTTATTTGCAAACTATTAGGGTTTTTAGTTTACAAAGTATTTGGAGCAGATAGAATATCTTTCAGTTTAAAAACCAATCTACTTAAATATTGGGCATCCCAATTAAGGGTCACAAGACCCTTAAGATTCAATAGGGAAACCTTAGCATACAGCTTTGCTCCTTGCTTATATTATTAACAACAGAAAGAGAAGACAGCGAGAAGCAACATGTGCTTTCCATGTGCCTTATGCACATACGGCTGTAATCTCTGTAGTCTGCAAAGATAGCCTAAGCCAGAAGCAACCTAATATCTTCCCATGAGCCAGACTAAGGAAACTTAAGCAAGCCGGTCTCTTGAGACACATCTAAACAATACACTCATTGATGCCTGGACAGCACCTTGTTGACTCTAAACTACCTTTTGTGAACACCATTTAATGCACATTTTAGTACATACACTAGCTTGTCCACCTGTTACCGTTTTGCAGTGTCCTTCAGAGGCTGAGGAACAGCTTCAATTCAGTCACCTTTCTTACGTTTTTCACTTGATGAACTTTCTCTGAATTAACTCTTATAAAACATATTCATCAATGACATAGACAGTGGGATTGACTGTACCCTCAACAAGTTTGCAGATGACACCAAGCTGAGTGGTGCAGTTGACACGCCTGAGGGACAGGATGCCATCCAGAGGGAGCTGGACAAGCTTGAGGAATGGGCCCGTGTGAACCTCATGAGGTTCAACAAGGCCAAGCGCAGGGTCCTGCACCTGGGTCAGGGCAAACCCGGGTATCAATCCAGGCTGGGGGACGAAGGGTTTGAGAGCAGCCCTGCCGAGAAGGACTTGAGGGGACTGGTGGATGAAAAGCTGGACATGAGCCGGCAATGTGCACTCGTAGCCCATAAGGCCAATCCTATCCTGGGCTGCATCCAAAGAAGTGTGTGCAGCAGGTCGAGGGAGGTGATTCTGCCCCTCTGCTCTGGGGAGACCATACCTGGAGTCCTGCGTCCAGCTCTGGAGCCCTCAGCACAGGAAAGACATGGACCTGTTGGAGTGGCTCCAGAGGAGGGACACCAAAATGATCAGAGGGATGGAGCACCTCTCCCCTGAGGTCAGGCTGAGAGAGTTGGGGTTGTTCAGCCTGGAGAAGAGAAGGCTGAACAGTCTGCCAGTACTTAAAGGGGGCCTATAGGAAAGATGGGGACAGACATTTTAGCAGGGCCTGTTGCAATAGGATAAGGGGTAATGGTTTTAAACTAAAGGGGGTAGATTTAGACTAGATATAAAGAAGAATTTTGTTCACAATGAGGGTGGTGAGACACTGGCACAGGTTGCCCAGAGAGGTGGTAGCTGCCCCATCCCTGGAAACCTTCAAGGTCAGGTTGGACAGGGCTCTGAGCAACCTGATCTAGTTGAAGATGTCCCTGCTCATTGCAGCAGGGTTGGACTAGATGACCTTTAAAGGTCTCTTCCAACCCAAACTATTCTATGATTCTATAAAATTCCTACTAATATTAACAGGAATTGTAACAACCTCCCAAGAGACACCAGCTTCAGTGCATGCAGCAGAGCAAACAAAATTGAACCAGAGCATAAATGTTGATGCTCAGCAATGCTGTCTGGTTTTCAAGGAAAGGAAGATGTAACAGGGTTTCTCAGTGCATCTTCCCTGCTGCAGAGCATTTCTGTGAGCAACATAACATACCAGTGGTCTCCAAGCAGCTGGCACTCTGATTTGTGTAATTCCAAGGTACGGATCAGCATTTGGAGAGTCTATGAACTATGATTCCCAATGTGTATCATTAGAAGTTTGCATGTTTTATGTAACAGGAGGTTCCCTTACCAGAACAGGCAGAAACTGAAGACACAGTTGCATTTATATGTTAAGTTGTACAAAAGGTTACATGACAAATTCAAACTAAAATTTTCCGAACCATAGGACAGCAGAAAGAAATGCCTTAAAGATTTATGTGTCCATTCTGAAACACAATTGCTACAGGCAAAGGGTGGTAGAGCTGGGTGCATGAGGTACAGCAATCAAAGATTAAACATTGGAAAAGAAACAATTTCAATGACTTTGATGATTAGGACTAAAAAACATCCTGCAAAGGCCCATTGAATTGATGCTATTAATACTTTTCTCAGTTGAAGGAAAGTCTTATTGTACTGGGAAGTACAGAATGCCACAAATGGATTCATAGGCCCAAATGAGACTTGAGTTTCTTCAGAACTTAAATTTTTGAAATCTGATCAATTGGTAGGTATTTTATGTCTGGAAATGAAGAAAGAATGTCAGCTTTTATGAAGGACATCAGCAGGTCTTATGTTTAAGCTTTAAATGTTCTGAGAAACCATTTGAAAGAATTCATAAGGATCTTTCTGAAATAGATCTGCCAGGGGATAGCTGCTGCAAGCATTCACATCTCTGGACATCATTTTTAAAGACTGCGTTCAGGGGAACCAAACTTCTCCATTAGACTTTAGAAACCATGTTAGGGATGAAGTCAGGGACAATCACGGAAGTTTTTTGTATTGAGTATTGAACTGACAGCCTGCCTCATTCATCACTGTGATGACCATGACTGGTCACTGAATCACATCCCTGCAGGGAGCTGTACAGCCTTTCCCACCACCACCTGCATTACAACTTGAAGCACGCGTGTGTGTCTTATAGGATACCTGACTGAAGAAACTTGAAACCCTCAACCCAGCCAGCAGCCACTGTTGAAATTAAGCTAGCTGTAGGGTTACCACTCAGAGCCATGCCCTGAATTTCAGTCCTGACATCATTCTGCCTTTATTCTCCCTTCCTTGCATTCACCTAGATATAGAAAAGGTGGAAAGCAGGGCAAGCAAGAATCCGAACTTCTTCAGAGAGAGCGCGGCATTAGACTCTTGTTTCTAGGGGAAAGGAACTGCAGAAAGTGGGTTGGTAAGGAGGCTATGTCTTTGTGGCTATGGGCATAATTTTGTATGTGGTTTGTGTTTGTATGACATACAGTCATATTGGATAGATCCTGGAATCATTACACTGATATAAACACAAGTTATAAAAAGGTTGTGCAATTCCAATAAAAAAATCGACAACACCAAAGTATCAATCTTTCTATGTTTTTACCTCTGTGAGCACTAGGACCAGTTATGTATTCACAGGTATGTGGACACACAGAATACCTTTTGAGTTAAAAAGCTAGGTGACAGGAGCAAATTCTTAATACATAACACCTCTTCCTAAGAGCAAGCTGACAAGCAGCAACAAAAAGCATGCTGAAGACTTGTCAGGCTGCTCCTCTTCTTTCTATGCTTTCCATGCTTTCCTCCCCAGTCAGCCTCTTTGTGCCACACAGGCTGCGTGGGAGGTGAGACAGAGCTAGGCGAAATGCCAGATTTTGCTCAGGAGTAACAACCTGCAGTTCTACAGAGGAATTTTACTCGCTTACTGCAGCACTTAATTTGACCAAAAGACACTGTAAAATAACAATAGCTGGGATGCAGGAATGGTGGATAGGGATTTAATACCGGGATGCTGTTTTCCAACCATGAATATCAGAGCCAGTGAGTACTTTTTTTAAACATTTTCACAACTTCAGAAAACAATAAATATCATTGTGGGTTGTTTAGGCCCACAAATAGTGACAGATCTATGTTTAATTCACAAATGAGAGAGACAAAGCTCATCACATCAGTAGTATTTTAACTATGCTTAGTTTTAAATCATTCAAATTCAGAAACAGCTGAACAGTTCTGAAATAAAATCCATGACGTAACACTGATGCATTTATCTATTCAGTTCAGTACCAGAAACTGACTTTCACATGAAAAAATGAAGCTTTAGGGTAAAATTTTCAAAAGTGCCCAGATGAATTAGAACCATTTTTTAAAAGGTATTTAAGTTCCTAAAGCTAGAGAAACAACCAAGTTACATTCCTAATTGACTTCACTAGGAAATAGGTTCCTTTGTGAATTTCATTAGGTACCTATTTGCATTTTGGGTCTCTAAATGCCTCATAAAATTGCTATGCTTCCAGTACTTGCAAAAGACATAGAATTTTCAATGTCAGACTTACATTTTGGCTGAAGTATTTCTCTGTTAAAAAAGGAAATTAAATAAATAAAGCAGTATCAACTGAGTTAAGGGAATTTCCTTCTCAGAACGACTCCTGATGCGCAGAGCAAAAGAGCTGTGAGCACCTCAGAATAAGGTTTACAAAATGAATACCACAAGCTCCTGAACTACAGAAGCACTGGTATGATAAAATCAGAGTACTTAGGGATAGAAAACTGCAATATGTCTGAATGACTTCTGCAGCCCACAGTACTACATCCTCTGTTTTGACATGAATATTGGGAAGCACTGGCTATTACACACAGAATTCCTAATGTTCTCAGTCTTCATGTAAGACATACCCCATTACAGTGAAATGCAGTTCACCTTTATTAGACTCTTGGAAGATTTATAGCCATATATAAGGTCGTTGTTGGCAGCAGGACTAAAGACTTGCAGTAGAAAACCGATAGCTTGATCTACTATAGCTCACAGCTGGAAACAGCAGTGGTATTTTACAGTATTACACATTTCCACTTTTCAAAAGACTCTTTGGAAGACATGACTAAGAGGATATTTGTTTCATTAAACATACTGATACAGCTGTGCCATCACGGGAAAGGTGGCAGAAA